CTGATGACAACAAACCAGAATCCAACACGTATTGCCTACAGATGAACTAATATTATCTAGCTAACGTAGCTCTGCTCTCACTGCATGCTAACTGAAATGGATCTACAAAAGATTTAAAAGTCTAGTTTCAAAAAAGACCCAATTAAATTCAGTACAAACACTACTGTTCAAAATTTTGGGGTCAGTACACTTTTAAAGAAGGTAATATAGCTATTCAGCAATGGGAGCAATAGGATCACTTGTTGTGGTCCTAGTTAAAATTCTATTAGCAGAATTTTGGATGTAGTGCAATTTATTTAAAGTGGGCTTAAAAACCACACTAAGTACTGCATTACAAAAAAAAACAAAGATATTAATTAATTTTCCATCACTGAGAAGTATTATCAAGGGACGTAAATTTGTAATATCTCTAAGATAAAAAAAATATATAAAATTTGACTACATTTCGTACATGGAAATGTCAATTAAAAATCAAATATAACTCATAAATTCCTCATTTTTTTCTGAAACTCTAGTACCAAACTATCAATAATAAAAGGTGTTTGACCAGCCTTTGCAAACCTGGTGAGGACAGCCTATAAGCATAACCTCAATCGTATCGCGTTTAAACCAATAAAATGGATAGCCATCCATTACTTTATCTCAAAAATTTATTTAGTGAGAAATGAGACAACTTCACTTTGACCATGTTTGCAATGAATATAAATGTGAGTGTCATCAGCATAGTAATGATACTTTTTACCATAAGAAGTTGGAAATAAAGATTAAAAAGTAAAGGTCCTAAAATCGAGCCCTGAGGGACACTAGTAGAAACTGGTCTAATATCATACCTAAGCAACATACTGTCTGCGTCCAGCCAAGTTAGATCTAAACCAGCTAGAAACACTGCCAGAAACACCAAAAACAACTTCAGTAAAAGACTGTGTTCCACAGTGTCCAATGCTGTGCTAATATCTAAGAGAATAAGAATGGAAGGAGATCCAGAATCAGATGCCATTAGTAAGTCATTTGTATCTTTAACCAAAACTGTTTCAGTGCTACAAAATTTTCAAAAACCAGACTGCAACGGCTCAAAAAAGATTATTGACAGAAAGCTGGTTGTGCAACTGTAAAGCAACAATACACTCTAAAATTTTTGCCATGAAGGGAAGATTTGATATAGGACTGTAGTTAGTTAAATTGTTCAAGTGTGAGTTTTGATTTTTAGTACAGGGGTAACGCCAATGATTTTTAATGCAACTGGAGCAACAGCAGAACTCAAGGATTCATTAATTATTTTGAGCACCATTGGGCACAAAAAAAAAATCAAAATGTTACTTAAACAAGCCTGTAGGTAGAGGATCAATGCAAGTGGTAGTTTTCATACCTGAAACCCCTGTGAGGTTGCAAAAAAATATAATAACTTTGGTCAAAGGAAGGCAACACAATTAAAGGGATAGTTCAACCAAAAATGATTAATCTGTCATCATTTACTTACATTCACATCGTTTTAAATCTGTATGACTTTGTTTCTTCTATGGAGCATAAAAGAAGATATTTTGAAGAACGTTGGAAACCAAAGAACATTGATGAGTGTATGAGTGAACAAAAAACATTTTCAAAATATCTTCTTTTGTGTTTTGCAGAAGAAAGAAAGTCATAGAGGTTAGGAATGACATGAAGGAGGGTAAATGATGACAGCTACATGCTGACTGATAAAGACAGTGATTGATAGAATCGAGATACTTTGCACGAGACACTGGACTCAAGATGTGACTAGACGTGGACCACAGACTTCAGGAAGACGTCACACACTTATAAAATACATTACAAACACGTGCTTCATGACTAACTGAACTTTCACCCAT